ACTTAGTTGTCGGAAGAGGAGGATGGCGATGATAAAGTTACAGTATCGTACCTCGTACGCTGCTGCGTTTGCCTGCCGCGCGAAATTAGAATTATTTTACAATTTTGTCATATCGCTATCGCCGTCGTAAGATCGAAATATCGTAAGTCGGGGACCATCGTAAGTCGGGGACTACCTGTATATGGCATTGTTTGGCATAGATAAGTATGTTACCAGCCGGGGTCAGAGTCCATTCAAATAACGCCTTCATGTAAAGTTTCCACCTACTCTTTATGCAACAATGATCCCCAAACCCCTGTATCGTTAGCAGCAATTTGGGGCAAGTGCTGTTAGCGAGGGATTCGTGTCTCGAGCACCACACCCGGTCGCGTTTGTCAGGGAACAAGACAAGGAGGGACGGAGAGAGATAGAGGAAAGGAGAGACGGAGAGAGATAGAGACAGCGAGATACAGCAAGAGATAGCGAGCGACAGCGAGAGACAGAGGGAGATACAGAGTGAGACAGAAACATTTTTCAGTTTAATTTATTTGGTATAGCCCTGTGAGCCATTCGGCTCTTGAATCGGGTGCAACCGCAACAAACCAAAAACACGAACAAGAAAACATTTTAAAGTGACTATGTGACTGTGCAAACAGAAAATCCAGGAAAAAAACAGCAAAATATTCCTGAAAAAGCACCATACACCAACGTTGTATGCAAAAATCCCAGTGGGATGCAAGTCAAACAACAACAACCATAAGACAACTTAGATTAAGGCCATCAGTCTAACGCCCTACTACAACAAACATGGGCAAACCAAAAAACTTTTCGAAATCACCAAAATAAAGCCATAAAAGCAATGTAAGGGAGATGAAGAGTGAGACAGAGACAGAGGGAGATACAGAGTGAGACAGAGGGAGATACAGAGTGAGACAGAGGGAGATACAGAGTGAGAGAGAGACAGATACAGAGTGAGACAGCGACAGATACAGAGTGAGACAGAGACAGGTACAGAGTGAGACAGAGACAGATACAGAGTGAGACAGAGAGGGAGATACAGAGTGAGACAGAGGCAGAGGGAGATACAGAGTGAGACAGAGAGGGAGATACGGAGTGAGACAGAGACAGAGGGAGATACAGAGTGAGACAGAGACAGATGGGGATACAGAGTGAGACAGAGACAGAGGGAGATACAGAGTGAGACAGACAGATACAGAGTGAGACAGAAACAGATACAGAGTGAGACAGAGGGAGATACAGAGTGAGACAGAGGGAGATACAGAGTGAGACAGAGAGGGAGATAGGGAGTGAAACAGAGACAGAGGGAGCTACAGAGTGAGACAGAGACAGATACAGAGTGAGACAGAGACAGATACAGAGTGAGACAGAGGGAGATACAGAGTGAGACAGAGACAGAGGGAGATACAGAGTGAGACAGAGACAGATACAGAGTGAGACAGATACAGAGTGAGACAGAGACAGGTACAGAGTGAGACAGATCCAGAGTGAGACAGAGAGGGAGATACAGAGTGAGACAGAGGGAGATACAGAGTGAGACAGAGGGAGATACAGAGTGAGACAGAGACAGATACAGAGTGAGACAGACAGATACAGAGTGAGACAGAGACAGATACAGAGTGAAACAGAGACAGATACAGAGTGAGACAGAGACAGAGGGAGATACAGAGTGAGACAGAAACAGATACAGAGTGAGACAGAGGGAGATACAGAGTGAGACAGAGACAGAGGGAGCTACAGAGTGAGACAGAGGGAGATACAGTGAGACAGAGACAGATACAAAGTGAGACAGATACAGAGTGAGACAGAGGGAGATACAGAGTGAGACAGAGACAGATACAGAGTGAGACAGAGACAGATACAGAGTGAGACAGAGGGAGATACAGAGTGAGACAGATGGAGATACAGAGTGAGACAGAGGGAGATACGGAGTGAGACAGAGACAGAGGGAGTTACAGAGTGAGACAGAGACAGAGGGAGATACAGAGTGAGACAGAGACAGATACAGAGTGAGACAGAGACAGATACAGAGTGAGACAGAGACAGAGACAGATACAGAGTGAGACAGATACAGAGTGAGGCAGAGACAGAGGGAGATACAGAGTGAGACAGAGAGGGAGATACGGAGTGAGACAGAGACAGAGGGAGATACTGAGTGAGACAGAGACAGAGGGAGATACAGAGTGAGACAGAGACAGAGGGAGATACAGAGTGAGACAGAGACAGAGGGAGATACAGAGTGAGACAGAGACAGAGGGGGCTACAGAGTGAGACAGAGGGAGATACAGAGTGAGACAGAGGGAGATACGGAGTGAGACAGAGATAGATACAGAGTGAGACAGAGACAGATACAGAGTGAGACAGAGACAGATAGAGTGAGGCAGAGACAGAGGGAGATACAGAGACAGAGGGAGATACAGAGTAAGACAGAGACAGATACAGAGTGAGACAGAGGGAGATACAGAGTGAGACAGACTTTTGACTTTTAAACAACTTGATTTGCCGCCAGCAGTAACAGCACTGGAGGCGATTTCGATATGAAATACACAAAGTCACCAGCAACACAAATGAAAATAAACGCTACAAATCCACGCGCTGTTGCGCTAAAAAGCACCGCGCACAACACGAAATAAAAGTCACGTGGTGGTTGTGGTGGTCATTCACACACGCCACGTTGACGAGCGAGCGCTTCAGAAGGTGAACACGTGGGGTGGTGCCGTCCACGCTGGTACAGAGAGGGGCTTGTCCGGCTCCCCAGCGTTAGAACAAGACGCGCTGCACATCACCGACACGTGTGTGTGGTACGTGGCGTGCTCCAGACGGAGCCGCGCCTTGAGCAGGCCCCTGAACACTGGAAGCAGCACAGAGCAGCCGTCAGTGTCACCCTGCAGCGTCTTGTTCCTCGTTCTGTACACCGCCATCCTCGCCTGAGCACAGGCGAAGTTGGCGAGGTCATGGCGCTTGTTAGCCAGCTAAGGCACCACCCCATATTCGAAGCTGCTGTTGTAGAAGGGCACCCCCAGTTTCCTGAAGATGTCCCCCAAAAGGCAGAGTGAGACAGCGACGGAGAGAGACAAGAGACAGCGAGAGCCGGGGAGAGCGAGCGGCGGCGAGCAGAGAAACACGCCGAACTCACGGGTGTTGAATGCGAAGAGTTTCAGAATAAAGAACAAGACGATCAATAGTTCAACCGGGAACTATTGATAGGCTGCTGCGCGAGGCTACGTGGTGGGTACAGCAGAGTGCAGTGCAGCTACATCCATTGGTTGTACTGTGCGCCGATGCTCCCACGTTACGTGTCGCCTGCTTTCGCCAAACCGCGCTGACTAGCGTGGTGAAGTATGTTCGAAATATCCGCCTTGACCCGCCATGGTCAGGCAGCATCTCACCGCAGTGGATTGAGTGTTGCGCGTTAAAACTCCATTTAGGCTGAGGGTCATGGGCCACTGGCAGGACAGCACCATCAGCATCATCACAATCGTTCAATAGAGGTCCGCTAAATTGGTAACGCATAGTGAGCGCCAGTGCGCTAACCGAAGCGCCTCCCCCGCCTCCCCCTGTACAGCTGTCACTCGTCAAAGTGTTCTTCATTTGCAAGGCCCCAGCGGGCACGTGGGCGGGCCACTGGTGCTGCAAGGGTGGGAAAAACCCGACAAATCGGTTACTGGTTTTAATGGAATTAAACCCGATTTTGCCGATTAAAACCTGCTTTTATTATCGGCGTCTCGTGCACACTTCAATCCTGCTCCTCGTCGTCTTCGTCGTCGCTCTGGCCGCTGGACTCGGCGTTGTTTGTCGCCTTCGTCGGGCAGTCGGGTAGTCGTTAGAACGCGTTGAGGTTCGACTCGACGAAGACGAGCTTCTCGACTTGTGTCGGGCGCCAGGCCGTTCCTCAACTTGGAATGGATGAATCCCAGCGTCGAGAAGTTTCGCTCAGACGCAGCGGCGGCGGCGGCGGTCGACGTGGCCACGCTGAACAGTTTGATGGCTGATCTTCTGGATCTTGCGGGATAGTCGCCTCCGACGAGTGGCGAACTGACGACGAAGGCCCCGGGCGAGGGCCGAACGCACCGCGTGGCTCCGGGGGCCCCCGCTGAGCCCGGGCCACGGGCCCGAACGCCGCTAACGGGGTGCGTGCGATGAGAAATCCCGACTTAACTTTAATAAAAACGGATTTGGGCAGGACCCAGGTGCTCCGGTTTTATATAAAAACCGATTAAAAACCCGAATGAATAAAACCGGGCCGTGCCGGCCTTGCTTGACTGGTGGCATTTAGTGCGGCCCCATCGACAACACACGACGATTGACAACACCACCCAGCATCAGCAGCAATAGCAGCGTGCTGCTGTCAAACCCTCAACGGTTTCTAATGTGGTGGCGGCCCCTCTCACACCGACGACGTCTTATCGGCGAAAGTGCCCCCATCACCACCCCCCCCCTCTGGAAATTAGCCAAGAACACTGGCCGAGAAGGGCCACCGCATCGAAGATAAAGGCGCAGCCCCTGCAATCGCTCGCCTCAAACCACAGCTGGAGGAAGTGACCTCAAGAGGACCGCTTAACGTATTGTCAGGTGACGACTCGTCGTTTAAAAAAAAAAGTATTCATAACAAAACAACAAGCACCATACGGCTCATTATGCAACTTAAACTAGTTCTATTGCTCATGCCGCTGCGTTGGCAGTGGCTGAACAACAACAACGACAACGCATTCGTCAGTAACAACACCGGGTGTGGCCTTAAAATAAACATATTAATAGTAGGCGACGTTTCGGGCAATGTCCTTTCTCGATGGCACGTCATTATGCGAATAACAATCGTGGTCGCGTGATTAACGATGTGCGCGTCATTGTGACTCACCCACACATCGTCATGTCGATGACGCGGTGTTTTTTTTTTCCCTTGCTCCTGGCAGGCTTCCTGATTGGTCGCTGGAGCCTTTGGGGGGGGTGTCTCCTCCGCCCCGCAACCCCGCCCCCACTCGCTCTGACCCCGACCCCGCCCCCCAGCTGGTCTCGGTGATTTCCGCATCTGTTGAGGGCCGGCGTGAGTAGCCGTCGCCGCCGCCGCCGGGTTCCACAGTGACAATCCTCGTCGTGGTATGTACCAACTCTGGCGCAACTACTCACTCTAGTCATGTACGCGCTCACCCCTGTGTGTGTGTGTACTACACTCGCCTGGGTGTGCGTGTGCGTAAGGATCGTCGAGTTTGTGTGATACCAATTAAAGCTGCTGTTACAGGCGGGAGAATATATGTATTTGCTGATAAACCAATAAAGAGTCCCCCCCCCCTCCCCCCTATATAGCCTCATCAGATTGTTGGGGCAAATGTTGTGAAGCAGTAACACCTATGAAGGCCGGCACGGCACACGAGGTCGTAGGAGTTCAACACCACGCCCGGCTAACTTTGCGAAACACCAGTGGTGATGTTTTACACACCGCACCAGACGTTGTTTTTTTTTAGGCTTAGCCGACCTAGGGGTGGCCCGGGACCAGTTCAAATACTCGTGTTCACAGTTATTCTTGGTCCTGATCGGGAATGTAACTCAGCTCGCCGGCTTCGTAGCGCAGTGCGCTAACCACTGCGCCACCGTTCCCCGTTGTGCCGATACAGAGACGCGCGCACACACAAAGGCGCGAATCGTGTACGGTGCTAACGTACTAACTAGCGGATTTTACTTACCACGTGCTAATTGTGGGATGGTGTAGCAGTGCAGGTTGATAACCACTTCTTTGGGGGGCAAGTGTGCGACTTCTGTGTACGTGACAAACCTTACTAGTTGGCTGTGTCGGGTGGTGGCGGGTTTAACGACACATAATTTTTACACGAGCTAACCACACCCCCCCCCCCAAAAAAAAAACCCCGCTTCTCTTGTGGATGATGCTGTTGAGCACAACGAATCACGCAACTCACAAAGCACGACCAAATACTTCGACGACAGGTGTGGTGGCTGTTTGTTTCATACAGTACGTCTGAGGTAAGAAAGAAGGGAGTTCGGAAAATTAAATGTGGAACTGGCCACGGGGTCGATATGGAGGACCCATCATCCCTCATCCACAGCCAGCGCCTCGTCAATCTTGATTGTCAAGTTTTCGTGACTGCAAGGAAAACCATACTCTCTTTGGTTCTTTCGGTAAATTCGCGTAGGTGTGGGGAAAACTAAAATAATACGTCGCGACGTTTCGATCGCAACACAAGCAATCGTCATCAGGCAGAAAGACGCGTGATTTGTTGTTGTTATTTTTTTCTCCCACCTACGCGACTTTACCAAAATAACAGAAGAGCATTGGCACAGGCTCTGTCTGCTTCTGCGCTCACGAATGGCTGTTCCTCTACCCGTCCAGCAAATGGTGTTCCGTCATTCACTGAACGGAAATAGATATTCTTTCGCGTGCGTGAACAAAACCAGAGCGAGAACTGCTGTTATGACTCTGTCGGTCATCACCTCCTCCTCCTCCTCCACACCTTTGCCCCAACACCACCCACACACAAAGACAAAGATTTCCCGTATAGCCTTAGTGAGCAACTTATGAAGGCTCACACGGCACGCTTGAGGGGGGTGAATGGCCAACACCACGCCCGGCCGCGATTTGTCTCCCCAGTGCTGATGTTCTACACACCGCACCAGGTGCTCATTTGGGGCCGAGTCGACCTAGGCGAGGCCCAGGACCGATTCAGATAATCGTCATTTGTGTCGGCCATGAGCGTGAACCGAACTCGGGTCACCAAGTTCGTAGTGCGGCGCGCTAGCCGCTACACCACCGCTCCCCAAACCCTCGGCACACCACACATGGACAGCCCCACCGCGTCTGTGCCCCTGCTAGATGAGGGTCCCTTTTACCCCCCACCCCGCTTCGTTGCAGGTCTTGGGGGGGGGGTAATTATCAAGCCATACTTCACCACGCTGGTCCATGCGAGCAAGCATGGGGCGCTGATGTGACGAGACGTTAACTACCTTACCCGGTATGCAGGAGCTTGTGGGTTCCATCCTGACACTGACGCCCTGAGATGTTTTTGGAGTTTGCGCGTGTGTCTCTCTCTCTCTCTCCCCGCGGTCGTGTGGATTTTTATCCGGGTCCTCCGGGTTTTCCCTCCATAATTAGAATCGCCATCACGCATTCAGAGTATTTTGGCTGCTCTACATTTCCACGTGACGACAAGCCACGTTTGTTGAGCTATCATTTACGGCCCAGGTCGCTTGTGAAAAAAAGAGCCGTAGGGCTCGCTGGGGCCTTACCTGTTAAATAAAAATAGTGTCATAGTTTTCATCGACGTGGGAGCATACAAATGATGTTGCTGTCCCTCAGCAGCCTAGTACTACTTGCTACGACTGTACCAACAACAAGACTCTAGTAAGTGCGTTGTGGTCACCCGTCCAAGCGGTGTCGATCACTGCTTTAGCTTCTGACGAAGTCGGGCACATTTTGAGCGATTTGACCATCGGCTTTCATGGCAACATAATTTGAGTTGACGGTCGTAACAGCCCACGACGCCGTTGTTTTACAACTCGTTTCAGCGATTTCAGTCCAGTTAGCGAGCTCATTCGCACACACAATAGACAGTGTGTGTGTGCGTGCGTGTGTACTCTACTGATGGTAAGAGCAGCGATACAGGACCAAATACGGCGGCACCGCAGCGGATTGTTGAATCCATCTGCGCGGTCAATTTCAGTGTTTGAAATGCGGTTTGTGGGGATTCTTCTCACCGGCGTGGTGAAGTATGGTCAAAACACCAACCCCCCCCCCCCCCCCGCATGACCGGCAACTGCCTGGGGGAGTTGGTCCTTCATCCAGCAGTGGATTCACAAAGGAGCTGGTTATTATGTTATTTTTTTGTAACCTTAACTGTTGAAATGTACTGTACAGCACTGAAACTGAAAATTTTAATAGCCTCATTATTAATATAAAGCTGAAGAAATGCGATACGAGAAAACAACAGAGATCCCCCACCCCCCTCCACTTACCATGTAGCTTACACAGGCTTGTGGGGCAAGTGTTGTACGTAGCGCCCATTCAGGCGGGTAGCTACGCTTAACACAAGAGGGGTGGAGGGGGGGGTGTCACCTCTATCTTCACAAAGCTGACTTTTATACTCTTTGGTTCTCTCGGTAAAGTCACGTAGGTAGAAATAAAATAGAACAAATCACGACGTTTCGATCGCGACACAAGCAATCTTCATCAGGTGGAACAACCACGGCAAGGCAATGCTGAGGTAGGCGAGAGAGCTGCCGTGGCAATAGGTTATATAGGTAAGAGAAAGGGGGGAGGCAAGGGGGGGGGGGGGGGGGGAGAGAGAGAGAGGGGGGGTTGCTTGAGTTTACCGAAAGAACCAAAGAGTATGGATTCTTGCACTCACAAAAGCTTCAAATCAAGACTGATTTTTATTTGTTTTACTTATACCGCACCGGGACTCCATTTAAGTCTGATTCTACCAATGGGGGAGTGGGGTGCGTGATGTCCTAAGACAAGTTCAGATGATTAACGCAACTGATGTTGTCCTTGCGAGAGCCAGGGCCGGTTTGACACGAGCGCGCAAACAGCACGTGACGGCTGCTCAAAGGTGGTGGTGCTGCTGCTGGTGGTGATATAATCGCTGCAGCGGTGGCATTTGCTCTCAGTTGCAGCCCCCACCACCACCTCCACTGGACTGAGTCGGCGTTTCTCTGTGTTTTGTGTTTGTCGTCTTGGTGTGCTGTATGTGTGTGTGTGATTATTCTTTGTGTGATGCTGGTCTGTGTGTGTGTTGTACGTGTGTGGAGTGTACGTGCAGTGTTTTCTCCGGGGGGTTCTGGGTGTGTGCTCTGTGCTGGGTGTATGTGTTGTCATGTGTGTGTGTGGCTGGGTCATATAGTCCGCATGCCCAGCCACCGCATGCCGAAAAAGCTTTTGTTCAGCCGGATCGAGGGGGCTAAACGGGCGCGGCGCGGGATAGAGAAGAGATGGATTGATGTGGTACAGGAGGACGTGGAGCTGAGTGGACTTGCCGATGACTGGTACCAGCGGTGTCAAGATCGGCCTCTGTGGAGGAGGCTCGTGAAGGACGCTACTGGGCAGTTGGAGGCAGTCGCCCTCCAACAACAACGGAGGGTGGAGGAGCGACGCTCACAACAACGAGCTCTAACCCCTAAAGCACAGCAGGTTGGCACAGTAGGGGGCACAGGTGGTGCATCAGCCAGTCATCTCAGTCAGTCGACCCGTGGCACTTTTGGTCTGCCCCGTGACCTCCTGCCAGCGGGCGTTCGACACTGCACGTGGCCTCAAGGTGCACATGGCCTGGCACAAGCGTCGTGGTGATGTCACCGCCACTTAGTGGCGAATGGCGGTTGTTGTTGTGTGTGGGGAGTGGTAGTGTAGCGGTTGGCGTGCTGCACTACGAACCCAAGGGGCCCGAGTTTGATTCCCGCTCACGGCCACCAACACCAGGTAACGATTATCTGAAACGGTCCTAGGCCTCTCCTAGGTCGACTCATCCTCAAATTAGTAACTGGTACGGTTTGTAAACAACACCACTAGGGAAACAAAGGCGGTCGTGCGTTGTGTTGGCCACCCACCCCCTCGTGTGCCATACCGGCCTTCGTAGGTGCTCGCTAACAGAACTTGCCTCAACAGTCTGTTAAGGCTATTTGGGGGAGCTTTGTCTTGGGGTGGTGGTAGGGTAGTGGTTAGCGCACTGCACTATGAACCTGGCGCCCCGAGTTAAAATTCCCACGACCATGACCATCTTAAATGGTTATTATCTGAATTGGGCCTGGGCTTCTTTCTCTAGGTCGACTCAGCCATAAATGAGTGGTGCCTAGCGCGGTTTGACCATCGACACTGGGGGAGACAAAGGCGTGGTGCTGGTCATACCCCCTACTCCTGTGCCGTGCCGGCCTTCGTAGGTGCTCGCTTGCAGCACTTGCCCCAACAGCCTGTGAATGCTTCATGGGGAATCTTTCTAGCTTTTGTTACCAAATACAGGCCGAAAGGCCCAAAAACGTTAAGCGGGCCAGCGAACAAACGGCACCATCAGACTTGTAATCTAGGTAAGAGTTAGTGATGCGTCTCTTGAAAAAAAAAAACCTCTCTTTGAATTGGGCAAGGTTATGAAAACTTCGGGGGGGGGGGGGGGGGGGTGTGGGAAAGAGATGATGGGAGAGAGAATTCCCAAATGATGGAGTAGATAAAGGATTTTTTTGGGGTTAGAGCTCGTAAAGACAAATGGGTTGTTAAGCCACACGGCAAGTTCGTAAGGTTTGTCACGTAAAAACAAAATGTGCCAATTCGTTACTACTTGAGCACACCGGAGTGTTGGAGAATAAACCCGCAACATTTACAACAACAAAAAAAACCCCTTAAAATCACGACTAATATTGCTCGCAAAAACGCCCCTGCGTTAAATGTATGGGTTAGTGTGGGGAAAGAAACGGGAAGAGAGGTGCGAGTGCGCGAGAGCGCTTCACGCCGGTGCGCTAAATTGTGTCGCCACGGTCTCGCGGCCGCGAATTCGCTCGCTCGTGGCAAATGTTTTGTTGCGCGCGATTTGTGCGATTCAGCAATGGCAGGGGTCTGCGTGTTAACTTGTAAAACCCAGTGCCACTCGTTATCACCGTATTCACACTTGGAACGATTCCACTTTGTCGAAGCATTTTTCAGCCGTGCGTTGCGTCAATACAAATTAATATCCCTTCTCCCCGCCGCCGCCGTCGATTAATTAAACCCATCCACCAGTCCACACTGACGAGTGCGGTGAGTATGGTCAAACAACTCCCATGAACCCACACGTTATGGGGAGGCCTTCTTCCAGTGGTGGATTGACATCGGGGGGCGGGGGGGGGGGCTGTAAATTATGACTTTGTATTACTTAAAAGTTGAGGATGCTGCCGTGGGGTAATGCTTAGTACCGTACACCGGACTTGTGATCCACGGGCTCCACTCAGTCTCCCGGCGTGGCAGTTTGAAACAATTGGGCAAACTTCCAAAATAACCCCCCGACCGCTTCTGCCCAAGGCGTCTGCCTGGCAGGGAAGTGGAGGCCACTTCCGGCAGCAGTGGCGTGTGAGCATCGAATTGCAGCGCTGCGCTTTTACCTTTTCATGAAGTAAAAAAAAACCCCATAAAGTCACCCGTCTCATCCTCGCATCTCGTTTTTTGTGTTTAGTTTGTGGCAGGTGGTTCGCTACGTACGGTACCAAAGAAGTTCAACAAACTTGCATACATACCCATTCCTTACCTCCTTGTGACGGGGTGGGAGGCCTTCCTCCAACACTAGATTTATCAAGGCTGCTGCTGATGCTTACAATAGATTAGCCCATCCCCTACCCCCAACGTCTCTTCAACCCTTTGCTCTTGCCATGGTCTTCGACGGAAGCGTCACGGCGAGCGGCGGTTGCGAAACGAAACGGAAAATGGGGCTCGCGTGACAAAATTTTGTCCCCTCGTGGCAAAATGACATTTTCTTTTGCAGGCCTCTGTACCGGGCAAGGGCGACTCCGTGGCGTATCGTCTCTCACGGCGACCGTCCACTGTTCTCCGCAGACCGCCGCTGCCTCCTGTTCGCCCGGCCCGTCTCGTTTCTCTCGTCCTTCCCGAGTCCTCCGCGTGTCACGTTCGGCACGTCGGCGTACCCTCCACCGCTCGCGCTCCTCTCGTCCACGGCCCAAAGCTCAACGCACGACCGCAGCCTGCACTGGGCCCATTGCTTCGTGTTGAAACCAAAGGACAATTCGTTGTTCGTATATTACGTACGTACGTACGTAGAACTTCGCTCGCACCGTTCGTATGCAACCGTGCTAATCGGAGGGTGCGCCACCGCCGGCAGAAAATACCTCGCACTGCCAGAGTGAGCGCGAGAGAACCTCGGCAAGGAGGTAAGTTGGCCTACTCTTCCACGCTTAAATAGCGTCAATACGGTCACACCAGTTGTTGAAGCAAAGTCGACGGTGATGAGGCCGGGCGCACGCCGCGGGCTGTGACGGTACGCGCCGTACGGAATCCACGCGCGACAGCCGAAGGCGGTGATTTCCGTTGCGCTTCTCTGCAACCCAACTTAAGCGGCATCGTTTAAAAAGCGTTCGGCTCGCAAAGCAAATTTGCGCTTCATGTAAGGGAGGTCCGAGAGTGGCTTCTGTAATTTATATGTAACGTAAATATATACGTATATTTTTAATCGCTACTGTTGCAAACGCGGTGCCGTAGATGGCGCCTTAATTGTCCACTTACTCGAATTGACAAGCAACCGTTGCTGCCCAAAGCCACCGCTGGTAACCCAATTCAAATAGAGCGGCTGTCAAGAGGCGAGGAGTTAAATAACAGAGGGTGTGTAAACGTTGTGGGGAGTAGGTTTACAATCGTGGGATTGAAAGTCGTCCGGGAAGGCGTTTGTACAATGCGCCGTCAACGTTGTAATAAAAACAAAAAATCCACAAACAACGAGGTGAGGCGGCAACATCGCAGCAACGCCCACGCCAGGCTGGCTGCACTTTTGAGGCTCGAAACAAGATAACAAAAAAAACAACCGACGTGACCCTAAACCCACCGCCCTCGAGGTAGCGCCGCCAACGCCGCGTCACGACCTCCTCCTACGCGGCGGCCGCCCTCGTTGACCCCGTCCAACCCAGCGATCGTCGACCGCGATGGCCGGTGGCGGCGAGGTGCCGGGGCGGGCGTGGTACCCCGACTCCGGGGTCTCCTGGTGGGCGGCGGCGTCGGCGGCGGCGCTGGGCACTGCGGGGCCCAACGCGAGCGAGTGCCACCTGGCGCAGGCGCTCAAGGTGGTGTGCGCCAACGGCTCCATCGCGTGGATCTCCACCGTGTTCGGGGGAGTGCGCGAGCAACGGGCGCGACGTCGCCAGCGTCGCCCTCGGGCTGCTCTCCCTGCTCTGCTTCCTCTTCGCCTCCGTGCCGTGAGTTTGCGCGCGGCGCGTTGTGTGCGTACGTGCGTGTCGACTCGGGCATCAATTGAGTACCCGGTGCGGTGTGTTGTAAACGTCGCCGGTGGGGAGACAAAGGCGGCCGGGCGCGGTGCTGGCCACCCACCCACCTCGTGTGCCGTGCCGGCCTCATTAGGTATTCGCTCACAGCACTTGGGGGGGCCGTCCATAGATGACGTCACGCGATTTTGGACGATTTTTGACCCCCCCCCCCCCCCCCTCTTCACACGGCGTCACAAAAAGTCAGATCCCCCCTCAAATATGACGTCACAAAGCTCTGCAGCTCTGCCCCCCCCCCCAAACCATATTTCCATTTTGAAAATGAAACAAGCTTCAAATCGCTTTAAACTATTGTCATTGTAGTGCGTATTTAATGTGGCACTGCACTCTGATGTTGGAGTGTTGTTACAACAACTCTATATTTATTTAAAGTTGCGCATTTCTCAAACCCCCTCCCCCCCCTCGTCACACATCGTCACAAATGTCTGACTCCCCCCCCCCCCCAGGTGCGTGACGTAATTTATGGACAGCCCCTTGCCCCAGCTGTCTGTCATGCGTGCACGTCTCCCCACTTAACTCAAGTCGACAATCCAGTGTGGGCCCCATTGTAAGCCTTTGGGGCGAAATAAAATAATTTACCCAGAAGTGTTGACAAACCCAACCTCTGAACCTGTCAGCGCTGCTCTACCACGCAGAAAAAAGTAGCCATCTGTGCCGTGCGGGCAGCAAAGGACGGCGCGGAAAAAAAAACTGTTGTTGTGCCGTACTCCTACGCTCCCACATCTGCACACCCTGGGGTGAGACGGCGTGGCATAGTCTGTTCAAATAACCAACTCTCACTCAATCCACACGTGCGCGTGGGGTAGGCTCTCGTCTAACAGTTGACTGCAAAGTGCCTACGAGTGTATCATCTACGAACACGGATAAGAGGATCCGCCCCGGCGGAGTCCCACTGTTTCCGCTAACGTCGTGCCTGCGTGGCTCGATTGGGTATACGCGTGGGTGTGTGTGCGCGCGTGTGCACGGCGCAGTAGGGGAGCATGGGTGATGCCAGTCATCTCAGTCAGTCAACCCGTGGCACCTGCAGGGTCTGTCCCGTGACCTACTGCCAGCAGCAAGCCTTTGATACTTAATGCGGCCTCGGGAGTGCACCTGGCCTGGCACAAGTGCCGTGGCGGCATCACCGCCGCTTAGTGGCGAATGGTGGCTGCTGATGTTGTTGTTCGGTGCGAATGCGTGTTTACAGGCAGCTGTACGAGTCGTATCGGACGGGCCGAGCCGACGAGGCCCTCTCCATCTGGTTCCTCCTGTGTTGGCTCTTGGGCGACACCTCGAATCTCATTGGCTGCTTCCTGGCCAATCAGCTCTCGCTGCAGGTCGGCGATTTAACACACAACAATATAACTACAGTAGAGAGTAAGGCATACAAAGGCATGCATATGCCCGGAATTTAGCCAATTTTTTTTTTTAAATCCCATTTAGCACCTTTTTTATCGCCAAGTTTTGGGACAATCCTTCGATCAATTTGTTCAGTTTTTCGCGAAAAGCAACACAACATTTTAAACAAAAATGTAATTAGTATTGGATCATCTTGACCAGTTAGCGCAGGGGTGGCGAACGTCCGGCCCACGGGCCGTATAAGGCCCGAAAATTAATTAGTCTGTTCCAGCCATCACATTAGGGGTGAGTTAATTAAATGTTTGACCAAATATAATGGGCTAATTTTTAAGTTGATAATTTTGTATGGCCCGCAAATGATGTTATATAACTATCCAAATGGCCCTTGGCAGAAAAAAGGTTCTCCACCCCTGATATTAGCGCATCCATAATAGAGGTTTTTTTGGGTTAGATCGCGTAAATATATGTGTCGTTAAACCCGCCAACACCCGACACACAGCCAATGAGCGAGGTTTGTCACGTAAACAGAACGTGCCAATTCGCTATTAGTACAGCACACCGGTATGTTGGAGAACAAAGCCACTACATTTACAATCTGAGTACGACGTTTTGCCAATAATTACAACCGGCATCATCAGGCGGCAGCCAGATTTGTGGAGAAGTCCTCCTGTTTCGTTCCTTAAATAGAGGGGCAGATGTGATGACATCACTGTTGAGCCCTTCACGTGCGAAGTAGGGGAGGGGGGGGGGTTAATGAATAATATAAATTACAATGGGTATCCACTACCGCGTGCCCTCGTTACGTACAGATGGAGAGTAAGCCAATGCATTAATGATATCTGCCTTACAAAGTATTAAAAACTAGGCTCGTAACTACGTGGTGATTCGTGGCCATTAAAATATATTTTTTTACGTGGGTTTGTCTCTGGGTCCGCCGAGTTCACCCCACGAAGCCAAACACGAGTGCGTGGAATTGGCCAAACATCCCCCAGAGCTTCTGTAAAATAATCTCGAGTCTCCTTTGAGTCCTTCCCGTGTGAACGAAGGACTTGACTGTTATCAGTACATTCATAATAGAGGTTTGGCCAGTAATTACAACATATATAGAGGCGTAGATGTGGTGACCACGCTTCTGCGCTCTTGTGCAGAGTAGGGGGGGGGGGGGGTTACTGAGTCAACGTACATTATGCATTTGCATTATGCGAGCCCTATGATCTTGTCCTTCCTGTCTATTGTGTGTATGAAAATAGCCGTACCAACGGCAATCCCTTTGCAGTACGGTGCCCTTTATAGGCATGCATTTAAATAATGTATTATTTGATGATTCGCTTCCACGCAGCACTAAGGCGGTAGCTATCCGAACGGTTAAAATTTTCTTTATTTCTTAAAATTTCGATAGATTCTCTAATTAGTCTTGGGCCAAATGTAGCTAGTTTTGCACAGAACTTCAACATTATCACAATCAGTTGAGTGTCCTTGTTGGCACGCGTGTTCTGCTACTGCTGAACACAATCTAATCCAGAAATCTCTTTTATGGATGATATTGGTCACGAAAGCCTACGTGTTAAACTATCAATACATTTTGATTTAAAGCTTTCGTGACTGCAGGAATTCATATTCTTGGTTCTTTCGGTAAAGTCACGTTGAAGGGAAGCAATAAAATAATAAAAATATAAAACAATAAAATTCTCACGACGTTTCGACTGCAACACAAGCAATCATCATCAGGTGTGAAAGCCACAGCAAGAAAAACTGCCACTTTTTTCAAATTTTTCTTGCTGTGGTTTTCACACCTGACGATGATTGCTTGTGTTGCAGTCGAAACGTCGTGATAATTTTATCGTTTTATATTTTTATTATTTGATTGTTTCCCTTCTACGTGACTTTACCAAAAGAACCAAGAATATCAATACATTATTTAACATATACCCACGTAGATGGAGCCGTGAAATCAGCCCGTATGCTGCAGGTGCTTAAGTGGATTATTATCATCCACGGGTGGATCTTGAAATGTGCCGGCGGATTGGGGAGGCTGTCATCCAGCAGTGGGTTGACCATGGCTCATGATGATGATGTGAAATTAATTAAAAAGGTGGGGCGTCCCAGTTACCACCATCGAGGTTATAAGGAAGTTCCCAGTAAACATCCATATGTTGGGCCAACGTCGGTGTGTGGTTAGAACCGTTGGGTCATCGTCCGGACCAACGTGGACTGTGTTTACAGACGCACACCATGCCTCTCACCCTCCCCGCCTTCACCAGCTCGCACTGACCAGCGTAGCGGTGGGTCGGGTCTGACGAGCCCTTGTTGCCCTGCGTGTTTAACAGAAGTACACTGCCATCTACTACGTCTGCATGGACATGGTGATGATCCTCCAGTACCTCTACTACAAGCGACGAAACCAAGGTCCGAGTGAGTGAACGCTACGTGGCTCGGTGATGGTGCCACAGCGCACGCGACGTTGCACCAACAGTGCACGCGACGGTGCAGCCGAGTTCACGTGCGACGATGCAGCCGCAGCGCACGCGCAACAATACCAAGCGACGACATTCCCAAGCGGTAATGCGTTTTGCAGCTTGTTGCAGAGGTTCGCAGTTGGAACCCGAGCGGGCGCCCTGGTTAATGTTTGCCCACAATAAACGGGTGTTGGTGGATCACACGAATGTTGCGAAACTCCCTTGCCGTGGGCGTCGAGGAGGTGCCATACCCTCCCTGGCTTGCCGATTAGCACGGTCGGCTACGCAAGGTGCAAAATAAGTTAAACGTACATTTGCCAGGAGAAGGCGGTAAAGTGCGGACTATCATATCATGTCCTTTCCATTCGGGGAAAGTTACCCTATCGCGTTGCGTGAGTTTTCTCTGGGTCCTTCAGGTTCCACCCACATGTTTAAACCCTCATTAATTGAACATATTTGCCATGCACAAGAATAAAATTTCCTAAATACATTCTAATAAACATAGGACCGCAGAGCTTAGACAATCGTTGGTTCCTCGGCGATTGTGAGGTGCAATTTACATGAACGGACGACGCTAGGTATAAAAACTAACATCATTAAGTCAGAATCTGAATAGACTGGAGGAGTCCTATGAGCTTTAAAGCTCTTTCTCACAGATGTCCGAGTAAGTACCACATGCACTGGAATTGGGGGGCCCACATATCTTTCAGCCGCCCAAGAGCCCAGATGGATATACATTTTTTTTGGCTGTCCGATTAATGTTGTGGGCGTGTTTTCCCGCCAATGTCATCCGCCAGCTTCCCTGAGCGTGAATGCGATGGGCGTGGCCTGCATCCTGGGAGGCACGGGATTGGTCGGTCTGCTCGGACGTTCGCCCAGTCAGGCGCTGGCAACGGGCCGCTTGGGGAGAAGCCTGCTGTCGTCAAAGTCGTATGTGGACGTACGTACGCACGCACGCACGTGCCAACATGCATGCATGTGCCAGCACGCACATGCGTGTTAACACACAGATGCGCGTGCGTAAACGTAGCCTAAAATGAGCCCCCGGTGCAGTGTGTAAACATCGGCACTGGCGAGACAAAAGCGGCCGGGTGTGGCGCTGGCCACCCACCGCCCACGTGTGCCATGTCGGCCTTCATAGGTGCAGCTACTCGCCGAAACAGCGCTCGCCCCCTACTGTCTGTTCGAGCCTACTCGGTGGGGGGGGGAATGGTCGTCTTTGTGTGCGTGCGTGAGCAGCCCGCGATCGTCATCGGCTACACGTCGGGTTCCATCTCCTGCCTCTTCTACCTGGGATCTCGCCTGCCACAGATCCACAAAAACGTAAGCAAGCGGTGTGCTTTGGAGTTCCACGCACGCCACCACGTGACACCACCACGTGACGCCACCACGCACGCCACCACGCACGCCACCACGTGACACCACCACGCACACCACCACGTGACGCCACCACGTGACGCCACCACGTGACACCACCACGCACGCCACCACGTGACACCACCACGTGACGCCATCACGTGACACCACCACGTGACACCACCACGCACACCACCACGTGACGCCACCACGTGACACCACCACGTGACGCCACCACGTGACACCACCACGCACGCCACCACGCACACCACCACGTGACACCACCACGTGACACCACCACGTGACGCCACCACGTGACACCACCACGTGACGCCATCACGTGACACCACCACGTGACACCACCACGCACGCCACCACGCACGCCACCACGCACACCACCACGTGACACCACCACGTGACACCACCACGTGACACCACCACGTGACACCACCACGTGACACCACCACGCACGCCACCACGCACACCACCACGTGACACCACCACGTGACACCACCACGTGACACCACCACGTGACACCACCACGCACGCCACCACGCACGCCACCACGCACACCACCACGTGACACCACCACGTGACACCACCACGTGACACCACCACGCACACCACCACGTGACACCACCACGTGACACCACCACGTGACACCACCACGCACACCACCACATGACACCACCACGTGACACCACCACGCACACCACCACATGACGCCACCACGTCACACCACCACGTGACACCACCACGTGACACCACCACGTGACACCACCACGTGACACCACCACGCACGCCACCACGTGACACCACCACGTGACACCACCACGTGACACCACCACGTGACACCACCACGCACGCCACCACGGCGCTTTTCTAGAGCAAGGGTCAACAAACATCAACGAGAAGGGCCATTTTTTTCGAATTCTGTAAAAAAAACACAAATATTTTAAGGGCCTCAATGCACGTGAATACGAGACCGCGGTTCTTAATAAATAACGTCACAAAAAACAGTCCTTATTTGAGCCAGCCATGTGGAGCTCCAGAGCCGCAGGTTGCCAACCCCTGCCCATGGTGAACTGGACTTCAGTGATATAAAGCTTTCGTGACTGCAGGGATTCATATTCTTGGTTCTTTCGGTAAAGTCACGTAGAAGGGAAGCAATAAAATAATAAACCATTTCAGGTCTTAATTGATTGTTCACGCTTACGGTGGCTTTCAGACCGCATCTATTATTTTCGTCTCCCCCTTCCTCTTTTCCGAACATAGATGGACTCGTCCATCTGAACAAACTGTCAAATCGCTCTCCGTGGTGCTAACGTAAAAAAAAACCGCCACTTTTTTCAAATTTTCTTGCTGTGGTTTTCACACCTGATGATGATTGCTTGTGTTGCAGTCGAAACGTCTTGAGAATTTTATTGTTTTATATTTTTATTATTTTATTGTTTCCCTTCTACGTGGTGACTTTACCGAAAGAACTAAGAATATGAACTTCCGTGGTCAGGGGTCGGCAGCCAAAGTAATAAGAAGAACCATTTTCTTTCGACTTTCAAGAGCCGCAGGTTGCCGACCCACAGTCTAGGGCTAGAAACCGGTAGTGGGGTTCATCCGCACTCCGCCAGTTGGACTGTGGCTATGCTCGTCATGTATGTGTAGTGTCAGCGAGTCGGAGACGAGGTTTGCAGAGGGCACCCTCTTGATTGAACACACACGATCTCGCCTGCACACACTCTGTACTCGCTAGCCCATGACACAACACTAGCCGTCTAGCATCGGCGGCGCTGACCGAGACGGCTAACGGGCTGTCTAGCAATGTCGAGCGAAGACCGCGGCGACGATGGCGACGAGACGACGGCAACGACGAGACGATCCAATCCCAAAACCGGCAGCCTCGAGCTCGCGCTTTCGGCCCCTTTTATCCTACCAGCGTGGCCTGGCTCTGCCCTGGCTGCGCCTCCTTTCTCGAACCCACTAGCAGGTTCCAGGGGCTTCCAGATGGGGCCCTCTGCGACCCTTGCCCCAGTTCATCCACCCTGCCGACACACACACCCGTGTATATGCTCACCGACGTGTGTACTTTTTGTCCACCGCAGTTGCCGCTGCTTAGCACCAGCCGGCGTTATTACACTACATATGTATGTGTGTTGAGGTTCTTTCGCACAAAACCGTGCAAATCGGAGTTGTGTACCACCTAACTCCAGTCTACCAGCGGCCAGGAAAATCTTCAGTGAGAAATTATATATATTAATTTTTTTTAATTCACCTTGTAACGAGCCACCGCACACATTGTTCGGGAAAGACAGCCGTACACGGTTACGGCGCTGCCAAATGTCTCCCCAGGCTCTGCGGTCCTCACCGAGTGTTTTCCGTGCGGGAGGAAACCCGAGCACCCAGAGAAAACCCACGCACGCGAGGGGGTTAACCACCACACAAACTCCGGTCAGCCGCGCAGCAGCGACTTTTGGCTGGCCATCAAACAAAGACGGTCACTGCATCGCGCGCTTTCAGATGCGCTTCTACGGCCATCTGAAGCGCTCTCCCTTCCGGTATTAGAAAGCCACTGGAGCGATGCACTTTTAAATCGTCTAGATTGACAAACTCATTTCTTTAAAACTCCTTTTTGTGTTTAGTTTTTTTGCCCTTACCTCCGATTAGCATGGGTGGCTCTGCCCGGTGCAAAAGAAATTCAACATGCATACGTACACACGGATAGAGTCCACACTTGCCATTCTACCTTGTCCTGACAAGCTAAGGTTACAGCACCTCCTCGATGCGCACGGGAAGGGCGTTTCACAACATCTGCTTGATCCGCCAACCCTCGTTTCTGTCTCCGCCATGCTGGATTACGTAGCCACCACCACTACCACCGCCGCCCGGCAAAATTCATCCTCGGCGATCGGTGCGTCGCCCTCCATGCCGTCCCCCCTCCCACCGCCACACCCTCACACCCCCCGTGCGTGCAGTACAAGCGGCACTCCACGCAGGGCGTGTCGTACATGCTGTTCGCGCTAACCGTGTTGGGCAACCTGACGTACGGGCTCAGCGTGCTGCTCAAGAACCCGGACGAGGGCGACACTCAAGGCTGCTACTTCCTGCGCCACCTGCCTTGGCTCGTGGGCAGCCTGGGCACGCTCGGCCTCGACACATGTGTATCCTCGCCTGCAATAGAGCGCGGTGGAAACCGTACCGTGGTGCTTTTTCACCGCGAATTAGTTTTTTATGGGGGGGAAATTCTTCCAGCCCCCCCACTCCCACCCTCACCCCCCTTACCTCACCGATTTCATCATTGAGCGTAAACCGTCGCGTGAACTCCGGTCGTACTCGCAGCGGCGGCGGGTGGCGGCTTTTGGCTGGGCATCGAACGATGATGGTCACGCCGCGTTCAGATGCGCTTCTGCGGCCGTCTGGGACACTCTTCCTTCCGATAGCAAGTGGGAAGCCACTTTCTTTAGAACTGCTTTTTGTGTTGAGTTTGTTGTGCTTCCCTCGCACCTCCGATTAGCACGGTTGGCCAAGTACGGTGCGAAAGAAGTTCATCATACATGCGTACATACACGCGGAATCGGAGCGGAGACGTGACGCGATTTACGCAGAAGTCTCCCTGCGGTACTTTTGATGCCAGAACTGTGTTCTGTCCGCCGGTTAAATTCCATTTTGGCTTACCCAGTCCAATGAAGCAAGGGCGGTGAAGCTGCGGTGGCCACTGCTGGATGAGCGATTTGTGCGACGCTGTAGAGTGGTGTTGCCAGCCGTGAACGATACTCCAGCCCGCTGCCCATCACGTTCCCTCTTGTTTTTCGTTAATAATCGAGCGTCATTTTATCGCTATAATAATTGCGACTGTGCGTTGAAACAAATGAGTACCGGCCATCCTGCCCTCACCCTTCCTTCTCTCCCCAGTATCCGCCCCCCCCCTCCGCCTTATCCCCTACTCCCCTATCAATATAATTATTCCACAGATACATTGAGCCCTCACCGATGGAGGGTTGATGGGCGCAATGACCTTGTGAACTCTGATCCTTGACCTTCGACCCTCAGATAACCATCCAGTTCATCAAGTACCGCAAGCCACAGCATGGCACGCGACACGACGAGCGGGAACCGCTGATTGGCTGAGCCACGTCACATGGTGCAATGGAAAAAAATGGACGACAAATGAGGAGACAGAACTGAAAAAAAATGGTTGTCATCGGTGCTCAAACTTATCCGTGTTGTCTTCACTAGCTTTTATCAGATTTTCAAATTTTATATGATTGTTTATGTTAATCATGTCACATTTATTAAAAAAAATCAGTGATTTGCTCCTGAAATGAGCATTAAGGCGGTGCGCATGCCCTGTTTTTATAGCCCTGAGCCAGCGGTGGTAATTCCACATTCCTATGACGATGGTGAGTATTTCCATTGAACAATCACTGTCGACTTCCCCCACAAAGTGGTAATCGTTTTATCGACCCTGAAGGAATGATAGGCTTCCAACTAGGATTTGAACTCGATTGTGGCAAGACTGATTCTTAAAGGACTAGCACCCATAATCACTGTAGGGGCAGGATGACATGAGCACACCTGTAATCACAAGCCTCTTATAAGCAATGTATCCCTATGTTACACTGGTGGCATGGGGGGGGGGGAAGAAAAGGGTAACTTTTTAGATCAGCCTACTGGATATAAGCACACGTTTTATCTACAGTATTTGGCATGATTTTAAAGCCATAATTGTAAGCATTTTTTTAATATATAAAAATATACCGTACAGCCCATTGTCAATCCGAGACAAAGTCAGTCATGGTGGTTTGACCATACTTCACCACAATTGTGAGTGTTTCGGTTGGTGAAAGGTGGGTGGGGGGGGGGGCGGTGACCTGGGATCGGTTCGGATATCGCCCGGCGCCGACGAGCGGCCGTTTGCCAAGAATTCGACCCGGGTCGCCAGGTTCTTCGTGCGGTGCGCTAACCACGACGCCACCGCCACCCCCACCGTATTGTTCGACCGCAGAATAAAAATGTTCGCGTGCAGCCGGCGTCGCAATGCGCAATCGCCGATTCGCGGGGCTGCTTTCATTCTCCGCGAGACGGCCGACGTAAATTGCTGCAGAATAGTGAGACGGAAAACCGGGAGAGCGCTCTTCTTGGGAGTTTGAATATGAATGTGCTCCGACAGAAGAGAGCACGCGTTGTGCAATGAGGTAGTGGTCTTTAGGCGGTTAAACTGCACCGGTGTCCGCAGGTAATCGGACCGGGGGGGAGGATGGGGCATTTAAACTTAAACTATAAACTAAGCCTTGTATCTTAAGGTGAAGACGATTGCTCGTGTTGCGATCGAAACGTCGTGATATTATTTTGATTATTTTTTCTATCTTCGTGGCTCTACCGAAAGGCCCAAAGAATATGAATTAATGCAGTCACGAAAGCTTTAAGTCAAGATTTAAGCCTTGTATTTGAGCAGGTAAGGCCCACTGAGCTATATGGCTCTTTTTCAGAAGCGACCTGGCTATCACAAATGTGGACACTTATAGCAGCCCAAATGCTGTTAACGCATGACGTTGATTCTAAATGTGGAGGCAAAGACCGGGAGGACCCGGAGATAAAATCCCCGTGACCAGGGGGAGAACATGCAACCTCTAAAAATACAGACGTCGGGGTCAGGATCGAACCCACGACCTCCCGTATCACAGGCGAGGTAGTCAACATCTCACGACCGCTGCGTCAGGGCCCATGCCGACCACGGCTACGCAACCGTGGCAAGAGCGATGCCGCGCGAGACTTGTTTCATCCGGCGACGTTCAAAACACCACGCCGCCCAGTTAACGTGCATCGCATTCGTTCGGCCGACAGATTCCAACCATAATATAGATTCCAACCGCACGCCACGCCAGCGTCGGCCCCGAACGGCATCGGCGCGTTAACCGTAGGAATCCAAACCCCGCGTACCGGCGACGCCCGGCCGCAGCAGGGGGGGCGGCCGTTCAAATGACGATTGCGTCGTTGGTGCATCGTTGGCCCAACTTTGGCCCAACGTTGGTATGCTTACTGGGTTAGCGGTATAAATGTAGTGCATGACAGCTTGGGGTATATTCGTGAGGATGCGTGTGCGTGTGTTTTTTTTAATTGCATTACGATCGTCGCATCGGCGTCGTGTCGCCCAGTGCGTTGGGAGAAAGGCCTGTGGAAGAAGATTCCTCGGAGCTGCTTCCGAGATCTTTTTTTCAAGCGACGCTCTTTTATCTCTGCACTCAGGATGCTGAGCACTTTTTTTTCCTTCCACGAGACTCCGCGCTGTGGACGGATGATTTTGTCGCGTGCCGATCAAACTGGAATTCTTGCCAAAATTAAGTGAAAACCACATTTGTGTGTGTGTGTGTATGTGTGTCGCGAGTGAACGCGCCGCGACCGTGATAGGAACCTGGATTGGAACCCAAGGTGCTCGCCCAGTAAACGCGACGAACCGCCCTCACCCGCGACGATTTCCCTGGATGTCTGCGCCCACCTTGCCGATTGTCAGCCGCGCGTACAAAGACGCAGACAGAGAGATGCGCACCGTCCCATCTGTTCACTACAAATGCGTAACGGCAACAGCAACAAAATTTACCAATAAAAAAAGGTGCACGTTTGTTACAAGTTGTTGAGAGCGTGCTTGCTGGCGTGAGATGTATGCAGGGAGAAAACATACTTATCCTCGACAATAAAAAAAACTTCATCTGTCAAGTCAAGGATCAGATGCGCTTCTGCGGCCGTCTTGAAAGCTCTTTCGATAGGAATACCACTGGAGCTAAGCACTTTTAAATAATCTAGATTTAAAATGCATTCTTTAGAATTTTTTGGTTTGTTGTCCTTCCCCCCGCACTTTTGATTAGCACAGTTGGCTACGTACGGTGCGAAAGAAGTTCAACACACAAAGATCCCCTGTATAGCCTTAACAGACTTGGGGCAAGTGCTGTTGGTGAGTACCTATGAAGGCCGGCACGGCACACGAGGGGGTGGGTGGCCAGCACCACGCCCGGCCGCCTTCGTCTTTTTAGTGGCGATGATTTTACGCACCGCGCCACAGGTACTCATTTGAGGATGAGTCGACCTAGGGGACGCCCAGTACCGGTTCATATATTCGTCACTGGTTGTTGGCCGTGAGCGGCAATCGAATTACCAGCGAAACGTCGTACTCAAATTGCAAATGTTGTGGATTTACTCTCCAACACACCGATGGGCCGCAGTCGTAATTGGCACCTTTCTATTGGCGTGACAAACCTTACTAATTGGCTGCGTCGGGTGGTGGCGGGTTTAACGACACATTTATACTCTCGCGATCTTCCAAAACAGATTTTATTCTCGCGGATTGCCACGAGGTGGCGGCATCGACCACGTGCCCCGAGGCCCCGAGGCACGTGGTCCTTCAGAGCGACTGTCGCTTGTACTTTTCATTTCCCTCGACGAGCCCTGTCTATGGCAGTGTTGGGTTCTTAACGTTGCCGGTTGTGGCGGCCCCCTCCAATATTCAGAGGCCGATCTCGAAACTTCCCGCACCTCCGATGAGCACGGCTAGGCCACGTACGGTGCGAAAGAAGTGAAACATCCACGCAGCGGGTAATGGTGGGGGGGACCGTCGCAAAATTCCAAGCTTTTTAAATATGACCCCACAGGAATCGTTGATAAATGTACTGTATTTTCTCTGGTAAATATCACTAAAATATCAACTTTCTGGTGCCCAATAATATTATTAACTTTTTTTTTACCCAGGCAGTAGGCTTTCGCGACCAATATCCATAATGCAGGTTTTTTTGGGTTTGAATCGCGTAAATTATGCATTGTTTAAATGCATGCCTCTACAGGTCACCATACTTCAATAGGGGTTACGGCTATTTTTAGTACACAATCGACAGGAGGTACAGGAACAATAGCCTTGCATAATGCACGTTGATTACCATATTAATAGCCCAAACGGCAATTGACACCCATAGTAATTAATATGCATTCATTAATCTCCCATTTAGCACACGAGGGTTGTCATCGCATCTACCCCTCTAAGGAACGAAACAGGCGGACCTCTCCACAAATCTGGCTGTTGCCTGATGAAGGTAGTTGTAATTCCTGGCGAAACGTCGTACTCGGATTGTAAATGTTGTGGCTTGGCTCTCCAACACACCGGTGTGCTGTACTAGTGACGAATTGGCCACGTTCTGTGTACGTGACAATCCTGACTAGTTGGCTGTGTCGGGTGGTGGCGGGTTTAACGACACATTTATATATTTAACCAAAAAAACCCAGTATCATGCACACTCGCTTTTGGGACGGTCTTACATTGGGTTTAAAAAAACAAATCCAAGACGTTTTCAAGAAGTGGGAAGGAACGGGAACATTCGGAGAACACACCATGCCTTGCGCGAGGGGGGCAACATCCACCTCCGCACAGATGCGAAACAGATGGCATTTAGTCTACACTTTGCTGTACTGCATTCTCCTGGCTTGCCAGGGTTATGGGCACCTCCTCAACGCCCCACCCACGGGAAGGGAGTTTCACACCATCTGTGTGTGATCCACCAACCCCCTGGCTGCTGCCTCCAACAGCGCTGGGTTACAGGCCACGTGCAAGCGTGTCCATGGTGGTGGGTGGGTGGGTGGGAAAGGAGTCGAGATGTTAACTACCTCGCCTGGTCTGCAGGAGGTCGTGGGTTCGATCCTCACCCTGACGCCTGCTGTATGCGGTATTTGGAGTTTGCGTGTTTCTCTCCGTAGTCGTGAGGATTTTTCTCCGCCCCCCCCCAACCACATTTAGAATCAACATGCCTCTCGAATAGTTAGCTGCTACTATCCACACGATAAGCCACTTCGTTGAGCCATCGTTTGTGATGGCCAGGTCGCTTCCAAAGAAATATCCACATAGCTCAGTGGGCCTTACGTGGTAACATAAAAACAAGTTTTATGTTAGTTTAGTAACGGAATAAGTATTTGACGATCGTACCACCAAACCATTATTGTATCCTTCCTGCCAAAGCCCCACTCAATCGTCTCGTGTTCTCTCTCAGAGTCGTCATGGCGATGTCACCCACTACGATCAGAGGAAACAAGAAGATGTTCGGTGTAGTCGGCACTTTGCTTCGTTCATCATTTCGTTTTTTGGGGGGGGGGGTTCCAATGCTTTGCTCTCTCACTTTTCTCTCTCTCTCTCTCGCCACGCTTCGTTGCGCACTTTTAAACCGGTAGCCGTGGGCCCTCATTCAATGTACATCTGGCCACGGTTATTCTATTGTTGTTGTAGTTAATATCATTACGAGTGTAGAGGAGACTTGAGATGCTTAAGCAGGATCTTTATTTCCAAGGCAACTCACACCGTACTTCCACTAATCATCGAAAAACAACCTCGAAACCCTCCAACTCCTCTCCCTTATGGAGCCCCCCCCCCTACTCTGTTAATCCTTCTGGGGCAAATCCGACCAAAGGGTCCTCCACTCAATAATAATAATCGGATTGCGCGTCGTACACGGCAGGAGTCCCGTGACCCTTAACCCGTGGTTGTGTGGTGTTTGTGTGCGAGGATGCCTCCAACATCCTCTCCACATGTATTTGTGCGGTCACCCAAAACCCATCACTCACCTGGTTTAAACTTTCTTCTTTCACCTCTACCTCCTAGAACAACAACAAAAAAATATCCCGCAATTCCAGGACACCAACAGCAAGCGGTAGGAAGAATGATGGCTGCACGGTGCTGATGAGTCGCGAGGAGGAGAAACCGATGTACTGCCCAGATGCCGTCTTGGCGACCTTGTGTTGCCGAAGAAAGGGCGCGCCACGGTGGCTAGGAGATGTTAACTACCTCGCCTGGTCTACAGGAGGTCGTGGGTTTCAATCCCGACCCTGACGCCTGCTGCTGTATATTTGGAGTTTGCGTGTCTCTCGCTCTCATCATCATCATCACGGTGGCTAGGAGATGTTGATTACCTCGCCTGGTATACAGGAAGTCGTGGGTTTCGATCCCGACCCTGACGCCTGCTGCTGCTGTATATTTGGAGTTTGCGTGTCTCTCGCTCTCATCATCATCATCATCACGGTGGCTAGTAGTTGTTAACTACCTCGCCTGGTCTACAGGAGGTCGTGGGTTTCGATCCCGACCCTGACGCCTGCTGCTGTATATTTGGAGTTTGCGTGTCTCTCGCTCTCATCATCATCACGTTGGCTATGAGTTGTTAACTACCTCGCCTGCTATGCAGGAGGTCGTGGGTTTCGATCCCGACCCTGACGCCTGCTGCTGTATATTTGAACTTTGCGGTGTCTCTCTCCCCGTGGTCGCTTGGATTTTTCTCCGGGTCCTCCGGTTTTTACCTCCACATTTAGAAGCAATCTGCGTTCACAGTATTTGGCTGCTGCTATAAATAAATTTGCACGTGATAAGCCACTTCGTCGAGCTACCGTTAGTGGCCAGGTCGCTTTTAACAACGACCTTGGTATCTCAGTGGGCCTTAACTCGTAAACTAAAATAACATTGTTCAGTCAAAACAATGAACAGCCTCCATCTCGGGCCCTGTTCCGGCTGATGGCCATCGCGGGTCTGTGTGCGAGGCCATGGTGATGTCCTTCTTGCCATGCACAGCATTTCGGGATGCCCTGCGCCACCGTTCTTCATTGCAAGGCGCAGCGGGCCACTGGCGGTCACCTGGTGGCCTTCAGTGCGGCCCCCCCGACAACACACGAGTGACAACACCGCCCATCATCATCATCATCAGCGTGCTGCTGTCAAAGCCCCAATGGTGTCAAATGCTTGGCGGCCTCTCACACTGGCGATGTCTGATCTGCGAAAGTGCAGATCCCCGCCGCCGCCGCCGCTATGGAAATTAATGAAGGATAACTGTGAGTGTGTGTTTGGTGTTGGAAACAGCTCGCTTTGTGGACACGATGCACAAAGCACTGTGCGTGATATGCTTATCCTGTTCGCGAGGAGGATTCGTCTTTTTTTTCCAAAGGCTCACACATTGTATTATCCACAATAGCGATTTGCCACTGTCGCCTCTTGCAGAATATACGGCACAATCTTTTTCACGCGAAAGTGGCGACACGAAAACGTGCCGCTATCATACGGCACGGTTGGCCGCGTACGGTGCGAAAGAAGTTCAACACGGTACGTACACAAGCACTTCTCCCATTGATCAGTAATAGGTCGACACGTTAAGCCCTACCCTCTGTCAATCCACTGCTGGATGAGGCCCCCCCCCCTCCCTCCCCCCACGCCATGCGGGTCCCGTAGCTCTGATCATGCCTCGCCGCACTGGCCAGTAGCGGGGTTGGTGACGGCGTGGGAGCATAGACGTACGGTACAACAATTGATTGAATGGCGTTGCACGGCTCCTCTGCTACTCGCAACGTAGTCCCCGCATGAGTACATAAATCAGCGGGTAAAAGGATCCGTTTAATATCTTTACTGGGGCGGGGGGGGTTGCATATATGGCGTGAATCCACACAGATATATTAGAAGTTGGGACTGCAATTACGTACACCATTGACGCCGATGAGTATTACATTTAAAAACAACAAAAACACTTCTCATGACCGAGTGTTATTTCACAATAGGAAGTGTGTCGAAACGTCTACTTGGTGATGAGTGATGGACAGGTTGACACTCGCTCGCGTGCTCGTGCCAGGACGCGTGATCCGGACCGTGCAGTAACCTTACTTGGGGTTGGCCCTCCTTCAAAGCGACACCGACTCCTCTCCGCTGATGCCCTCCGCGTCGTGGCCAGCGGCAACAGCAGCAGGACCTCGACATTGGCATCGAGCTCCTGAACGCATTTGCCGTCACCATGTGCCAGTTGGTACCGACAGTTGCCCGTGATGGCAAATGACATCGCCAGTTGACTCACATCGCCAGTTGCCCACGCCGCCGGCATGGCAAAATCCCAGGTGTGCCTCGATTTTTATCGGAATGATAATAACCTCACTGTTTGCATGCTAGGGGCAGACGAACTCTCCCTGTCGTTCAGTGGCCGAACCAGCTCCCCTCTCATCTCACTCCACTCCCCTCCACGCACTCTCCTACCTCTCCCCTCTCATCTCACTCCACTCCCCTCCACGCACTCTCCTACCCCTCCCCTCTCATCTCACTCCACTCCCCTCCACGCACTCTCCTACCTCTTCCCTCTCATCTCACTCCACTCCCCTCCACGCACTCTCCTACCTCTCCCCTCTCATCTCACTCCACTCCCCTCCACGCACTCTCCTACCTCTCCCTCTCATCTCACTCCACTCCCCTCCACGCACTCTCCTACCTCTCCCCTCTCATCTCACTCCACTCCACGAACTCTCCTACCTCTCCCCTCTCATCTCACTCCACTCCCCTCCACGCACTCTCCTACCTCTCCCCTCTCATCTCACTCCACTCCACGAACTCTCCTACCTCTCCCCTCTCATCTCACTCTACTCCCCTCCACGCACTCTCCTACCTCTCCCTCTCATCTCACTCTACTCCCCTCCACACTCCCCTACCTCTCCCCTCTCATCTCACTCCTCTCCCCTCCACGCACTCTCCTATCTCTCCCCTCTCAACTCACTCTACTCCCCTCTCATCTCACTCTACTCCCCTCCACACTCCCCTACCTCTCCCCTCTCATCTCACTCCACTCCCCTCCACACTCTCTCCTGCCTCCTGCCTCGAACCGCGTTGTGTGATCGGCATCGCGCTCGCTGAAGGTGCTGATGCCTTCAGGGAAGTCGTGTACTGTACACGCAACTGCGCACAATTCTGAGTCTCTTATAACTGCTTTGCCGTTACTTATTGCCAATTATGGACTCAGACTATTGTCCTATCATCTCGTAGAGTCCCTGGCACGTCATAATATGCTGCAGTGGCAGTGGGGGTCGTAAAATGCCGATTTATTACTAATAAACGCCAATGATCCGATTGGACTTGGGTCTGGTCAGAACACGTCATTATAATACTTACTGACTTATCCAGCAAAGCCACTTTTGAGTCCAAGGATTTTGTTTTTGTCGCCATAAGGGTCCTGGCTGCTACATTTAGGTGTTTCATGTTTAACATGTTTGCAGGCCAATTAATTGGGGAGTTGTTTATTCCGCGTGGGGGTAAACCGGAGCACCCGGAGAGAGAAGCCACGAGTGTGGCAGCGTGAGAAACACTCTCTCCCCGTACAGATGGACATTGATTTTAAGATCCACACTGATGGATGAAAGCCTTCCTATGACCATACTTGACCATGCTGGTCAGTGCGAGTTAGTGAAACGGGGTTGGCGGCGGGGGGGGGGGAGATCAGGGAAGGTCAGCGGAGGGCATCGGACCGTTGCGGATACCCACTCACCGCTGACATTAGCCGTGGGACTGCCAATCAAACTCAAGAGCCCTGGGTTCAGTGTGCTAACCACTGCGCCACTGCTCCCACACCCTCCGCCTGCCCCCTCCCCCCCCCCAAAAAAGTTAGAATACATTATCGTCTGCAAATAATTTGCAATTGCAAATGAGCCACTATCACGCGGATAATTGATTTTTGGCGGTCGTTATCGCAAACTGATCGCCGAATCGACGCTTTGTGAAACAGCCCAGTCCACCCAGCTCGAGCTTAAGCTAAGGAATTGATCTACCAGGTAAGGCCCACTGACCCATGTAACTCTTTTTTTCAGAAGCGACCTTGCTGTCACAGAAGACGAAGTGGCTTGTCATGTGGAACTGTATCGCAGCCAGACACTCTAAAAGAGGTGACTTTAATTCTAAATGTGGAGGTAAACAGGGAGACCCGGAGAAAAATCCATACGACTACGGGGAGAGCGAGAGAGAGAGAACATGCAAACTCCAAATGTACAGCAGGCGTCAGGGTTAGGATCGACCCCGCGACCTCCTGTATACCAGGCGAGGTAGTTAACATCTCCTAGCCACCGCCATAACAGCAGGAGGTGTCTGGTACTCAGTGATTTGCTGTGCTGGGGTGTAAACTGGAATAGGTGGTCCCCACGTGAGTGACGACCCCAGCCATGGCCACGTAGCCATCGGTATACTGGATGTGGTGTTTGGGACGTTGGAAATGTTTCGTTTTCCGGGTCGGCAAACCCAAACAGACCCAGGTGAAATCAAGCCCCGGTTCTTATCAATTCTGAACATTTATTTAAAAACGTTTTTTACAAACCCCCGCGGGAATTCTCCCCACCCCACAATCCGGCCGCCAGCCGATCGGGGTTTTCCACGGCACCGCCACCGTCACCGTGCCGGTGGCCGTGCGCGTGGTGCTGCCTGTGCCGCTTGTTGTGCGGATGCTCCCACTCCCTCCAGGAGGAGTCCCCCCGCTCCGCGTTTTCCTCCGCTCCGCCTGCATCACCCACAGACGCGGCCGCCCGGTGCCGTTGTTCGGCCTCCGCGGGAAAAGCCAGCGGGTCGGACCGCTCGCCCTCCAGAGCCGGCTGCCTCGGCCCGGCTTCCGAGTCGTCGCCGTGAGCCGCGCCCGGCTCCGGGTTATGCGGCAAACCGCGATGGGGGCCGGCGACCGCCGCCGCCCCCTCCTCCTCCTCCGTCTCCGGCTCCGGCTGAGCCGCCGATCCGGCCATGGAGGCGAGGAGCCGGTCGGCCCCGTGGCCCTCGCCCCCGCCGCCTGCGGTGGCCGCGAGGAGCAGGTGCTGCTGGGCTCCGCACGCCTGGCACTCGCAGCGCAGGATTTTCTCCACGAGCTTCGTGACCTCGGGTGACCCCTCCGCGCCGTCGTCGTCCGCGTCGACGCCACCGCCGCCGTCGCTGTAGTCGTCGCCGCACTGCAGCGTCACCTGAGGAGGGGGGCACGTGACGGAGATTTGCCATCCCGGCTGGGCCAGAAGCAGCCCGCTACTTCGCTTCGGGGTCATTGTTTGGCCGCTTGCTATACATGTCCGCGTGATGGTAAGCCACTTTGGTTGAACTGTCATTTTTTGTGGCCAGGTCGCATCTGAACAAAACAAAGAGTTACGTAGCTCAGTGGGCCTTAGCTGGGCAAATAAAAAAAATAAAAAAGTAGTTTTAGTTTAGTTTCACTTTAGACCGTTTTTTAATTGAAATTCGGGGGAAACGGTGACCGTTTCCAGTGGGGTGTTTTTGTTTTTTTTATTCTTTGGGTCTTTCGGTAAAGCCACGTAGATAGGTTAAACTACGACGTTTCGATCGCAACTCAAGCGGTCGCCATCAGGAAAACGGGGTTAGCTTCTCAAGTTAAACTGTTTAAAGATCTAATAGTTGTGTGTGAAACCCTCCCCGGGGAGCCGGTTACATCTTTACTTAGAGCTTTCGTGACTCCTTCAAGCCACGTGATTTTGTTTGTCAGGAACGAGCACTGCGCTGCGGTCTGACTCTATGAGTCATCTTTGTAACTCTATGAGTCTCTTATGCAACTCTACGGCTCTCCATGTAACATCTCTGGTCACTGCAATGTCTCGTAAATGGCACAACTGGTCGCGACTCCTCTCCCTGCGGTCGTCCTTCTAATAGCTGCATAACTCGTCAACGGAAATAAAATCTGACTCTATGAGTCTCTTGTGTAACTGTACGACCTCTCTTTGCGGTGTCCGGTGACTAAACTAAACATTCTATTGGACCAGATAAGGCCCACTGAGTTACACAGATATTTTTCAGAAGCGACCTGGCTGTCACAAGGGATAGCCCAAGGAAGTGGCTATATCACGTGGAAATGCAGAGCAGCCAAATACTCTAAACACGTGATGCTGATTCTAAATGTGGAGAGTAAAAGCGGAGGACCCGGAAACAAAATCCACGCCACCACGGGGAGAACAAGCGAACTCCAAATATACAGCAGCAGCAGGTGTATCAAGGGTCTGGATTGAACCCACGGCCTCCTGTGTACCAGGCGAGGTAGTCAACATCTCCTAGCCACCGTCACTGCCCACGATCCTGGGCCGTGGAGGTCCTTGTCAAAGATCCGCTGAGCTCAACGGGACCTCTCCGGCTGTCCCATGATGAGGGCCTGGGCACGAGCGCAAGCATTTGGGAAGATGGGACCTTTTTGGCAGTGCCAAAGTATGAAAAAATTATATTGTTTGCACTTTCAGCACAAGTACTGTGTGTGGTTAATGCAGACTTTGATTCCTTGAAAAAGGTTTCGATTTAATCCATAATATAGGTGGTTTTTTTTGGGGGGGGGGGGGGTTAGATCGTGTAAATATATAAATGTGTCGTTAAACCCACCACCACCTGACAAAGCCAACTAGTAAGGGTTGTCACGTAAACAGAACGTGGCCAATTCGTCACTAGTACAGCACACCGGTGTGTTGGAGAGCAAATCCACAACATTACAACATTGTAATGTTGTGGATTTTGTTGTAATGTTGTCGATTTTGTTGTAATGGTGTGGATGTTTGTTGCAATGTTGCACATTTTGTAATGTTGTGGGATTTAACGACGCATTTATATAGTCACGCGATCTAACCAGAAGAAACCCTACATTACGGACGATACTGCTTGCGAAAGCCTCTACTACTGTCAGCGTCGAACTGACGGACTTTCTATTTGCTGTCTGAACACCTTAACACCTCCTGTTCCATTGCCAAAAAGGGGTAAACGCCTCTTCTTTATTTTTGTCACGTTTGGGAAGAGTCTTACGTTCGTGCAGGCGGGTGGTGGGGGGGGTGCGGAGCTGCGAGTTGTTTGTGGGGCCGCCACTCACCACATCCCACGTGGTATCGGAGGGGGTGCACGAGTCGCAGTGCAGCAGCGACTCGGAGGTCTGGGGCAGCGTGTCGGGCACGCTGTAGCTGTAGCACTGGCCCAGGCACACGCTGCGCAACAGGGGTGTGAGCAGAGTGGGTGGGGTGGGGGTTGACAATTCCGTAGAGATTAGGCAACAGCAGCAAGGAGCCGCGGCCGCACCGAGTCCAGGATCGGGGAAGAGCAAAACCAACGGCACGGTCGCACGCGTCGAGGCAATGGAAAGGCTACGACGTGTTCAGCCGGCGCCATCGTACGGAGCTTGACAAGAGCGGGGAGCAGCAGCGCCTTGCCACCACCGTGGCCGCACCGAGCCCAGGATCGGAGTTCCATCGGCCGAGCGTCCGCCGAGGGGGGGCGCGCGCCACCGCTACCAGGCAACGAGCAACGTGGGTGCGACTTCTGTTTTGTCATCGTCGCTTTGCTTACGACGGACAGCCAAGAATAATAATTAGATAGAAGAAGAAGAGGAAGAAGAAGAAGAGGAGGAAGAAGAAGAGGAAGAAGAAGAGGAAGAGGAAGAAGAAGAAGAGGCAATGCGGGTTCTTCGTGCGGCGTCTCAATGCGATCCCAAGATGCCGCTGCAGAAACAGCGGGTTGCGTCCGTTTTGTAGAGAGACGGAGAGATGGACAATCAGTGATAACGTGCCATTATTTTAACGTGCAAATTTATTGAGGGACTTTGTTGTCTTGGTGTGGTCTGGGACTGTTTTTGCTGCCTTGCCCAAGCTTGGGAATTGGTGTGCTTATGCAATTTCAACTTACCAGTGAAACCTTGGATTGCGAGCATAATTCGTTCCGGAAAACGTGTTTGTAATCCAAAGCACTCGTATATCAAAGCACTCGTATATCAGTTGTGATCACGTGACGCTCGGCAGACAAAGCATATACAAGAGGGAAAAAGTATTTGATCCCCTGCTGATTTTGTACGTTTGCCCACTGACAAAGAAATGATCAGTCTATAATTTTAATGGTAGGTTTATTTGAGCAGTGAGAGAGAATAACAACAACAAAATCCAGAAAAACGCATGTCAGAAATGTTATAAATTGATTTGCATTTTAATGAGGGAAATAAGTATTTGACCCCCTCCCAATCAGAAAGCTTTCTGGCTCCCAGGTGTCTTTTATACAGGTAACGAGCTGAGATTAGGAGCACATTCTTAAAGGGAGTGCTCCTAATTTCAGCTTGTTACCTGTATAAAAGACACCTGTCCACAGAAGCAATCAATCAATCAGATTACAAACTCTCCACCATGGCCAAGACCAAAGAGCTCTCCAAGGATGTCAGGGACAAGATTGTAGACCTACACAAGGCTGGAATGGGCTACAAGACCATTTCCAAGCAGCTTGGTGAGATGACAACAGTTGGTGCGATTATTCGCAAATGGAAGAAACACAAAAGAACTGTCAATCTCCCTCGGCCTGGGGCTCCATGCAAGATCTCACCTCGTGGAGTTGCATTGATCATGAGAACGGTGAGGAATCAGCCCAGAACTACACGGGAGGATCTTGTCAATGATCTCAATGCAGCTGGGACCATAGTCACCAAGAAAACAATTGGTAACACACTACGCCATGAAGGACTGAAATCCTGCAGCGCCCGCAAGGTCCCCCTGCTCAAGGAAGCACAAATACATGCCCGTCTGAAGTTTGCCAATGAACATCTGAATGATTCAGAGGACAACTGGGTGAAAGTGTTGTGGTCAGATGAGACCAAAATGGAGCTCTTTGGCATCAACTCAACTCGCCGTGTTTGGAGGAGGAATGTTGCCTATGACCCCATGAACACCATCCCCACCGTCAACACATGGAGGTGGAAACATTATGCTTTGGGGGTGGTTTTCTGCTAAGGGGATAGGACAACTTCACCTCCTTCCCTCAGCCAGGGCATTGAAAATGGGTCGTGGATGGGTATTCCAGCATGACAATGACCCAAAACACACGGCCAAGGCAACAAAGGAGTGGCTCAAGAAGAAGCACATTAAGGTCCTGGAGTGGCCTAGCCAGTCTCCAGACCTTAATCCCATAGAAAATCTGTGGAGGGAGCTGAAGGTTCGCGTTGCCAAACGTCAGCCTTGAAACTTTAATGACTTGGAGGAGATCTGCAAAGAGGAGTGGGACAAAATCCCTCCTGAGATGTGTGCAAACCTGGTGGCCAACTACAAGAAACGTCTGACCTCTGTGATTGCCAACAAAGGTTTTGCCACCAAGTACTAAGTCATGTTTTGCAGAGGGGTCAAATACATATTTCCCTCATTAAAATGCAAATCAATTTATAACATTTTTGACATGCGTTTTTCTGGATTTTTTTTGTTGTTATTCTGTCTCTCATTGTTCAAATAAACCTACCATTAAAATTATAGATTGATCATTTCTTTGTCAGTGGGCAAACGTACAAAATCAGCAGGGGATCAAACACTTTTTTCCCTCACTGTACGTACTATTCGTATTTCAAGACCTCGCTCGTTTATCAAATTAATATTTATTTAAAAAAATTGCTTGTCTTGCAAAACACTCGCAGACCAAGTTACTCGCAATCCAAGGTTTTGCTGTATAAACTTTTTAACGTATTTATTTTTAGTGATGTACTTAACTGTGTTTTTTATTGTTGTTGTAACTCTCTGACCCGCCTCACTGGACGTCTGTGAACAAGAGCTTCATAGCTCATCGGATTTTCTCCAGGATAAATAAAGATTCTTATTCTGATAATCATCATCATTTCAACTTGGAACGTGCCAACAGCCGAATGGCGCTCGCTCGCTCTGCAAGACAGAGGACGGCTCGGAATCAGAATATTTATTTGTGCTGGGGGAATCCGATGAGCTATGAAGCCCTTCTCTTTTTAACAGGTGTGGGGCAGAAAGTTGCAACAGCAAACAACACTAACACCGATTGGAGTGCAAAGTACAGGAGAGGTAAACAAGTTCAATTAAAATAGATAGGAATAATAAGTAGACGTATCAGTGCAAATGGCAAGAGTACATCAAACACTGCCGATTGGTCAACACTTAATGCAAGCTCGGCAAGGCAGCAAAACAACAACACCACAGCCCCCACGCCCCTCTCTACATCTTCCCTCTCCCCCCTGCCCTCTCTCCATCTCCCCTCTCTCTCTCCATCTCCCCCCCCCCCTCTCTCTCCATCTCCCCCCCGCCCTCTCTCCATCTCCCCCCCAGCCCTCTCTCCATCTCCCCTCTCCCCCCGTCCTCTCTCCATCTCCCCCCCCCTCTCTCTCCATCTCCCCCCCCGCCCTCTCTCCATCTCCCCCCCAGCCCTCTCTCCATCTCCCCTCTCCCCCCGTCCTCTCTCCATCTCCCCTCTCTCTCTCCATCTCCCCCCCCCCTCTCTCTCCATCTCCCCCCCGCCCTCTCTCCATCTCCCCCCCAGCCCTCTCTCCATCTCCCCTCTCCCCCCGTCCTCTCTCCATCTCCCCTCTCTCTCTCCATCTCCCCCCCCCCTCTCTCTCCATCTCCCCCCCGCCCTCTCTCCATCTCCCCCCCGCCCTCTCTCCATCTCCCCTCTCCCCCCCGTCCTCTCTCCATCTCCCCTCTCTCTCTCCATCTCCCCCCCCCGCCCTCTCTCCATCTCCCCCCCCGCCCTCTCTCCATCTCCTCTCCCCCCTCTCTCCCCCCCCCCGCCCTCTCTCCATCTCCCCCCCCACCCCCCCACCCCCCCCCCGCGTCTCTCCGCCCCGCCTCCCTCGCCCTCACCGATTGTCGATCTCCCGGCTGGTGCAGCCGGCGTGGCTCACGATCTGGGTGATGTTGCGCGTCTCGCACCACGCGGGCCGGTCGGGGAAGAGAGCGAGCTTGCTGACGGGCGCCGGCTCCCCCATGGCCTCCCCGGCGAGCGCCTCCCGCGGGCCCCTCGGGAAGGCGCTCGCCGCTCGCACGACGCCGCCGAACGGAGCGACGGCGATGGAGAGGAGGGAGACGAGGAGCGCGGGTGGGGAGATGAAAGGCCGTGGGACGGACCGAGACGACCACCTGGGGTTTGGCGATCAAACAAACAAAGATGCCAACCCCCCTACACCACCACCACCACCAGCAGCACCAGCGCGTAGTTTCAGTCTTTCAGTTTCATTTATTAGGAATAGCCCTGTGAGACGTGCGGCTCTTGACTTCGGGTGCAACCGCAACCAAAAAAAAACATGAATAAGAGACGTCTTAAAGCGACTGCGCTCAAACAGGAAAAAAATCCAGGGAAAAAAAACAGCGCGTGGGCCAAGTGCCGTCAGCGAGCAGCACCTTTTGTCGGAAGCGACCTGGCCACAAATGACCGTTCAACAATGCGGCGTGGCCATCACGTGGAAGAATTGGATAGCGGACAAATACTCCAAAACACGAGATGTTGATTCTAAATGTGGAGGAGGAGGAAGAGGAGGGGCGGGGGGAACCCCGCAGGGCCCGGAGAAAAATCCACGCGACCACGGGGAGAGAGAGACACACGCACACTCCAAATATAGAGCAGCAGCAGGCATCGAACCCTCGACCTCCTGTATACCAGGCGAGGTAGTTAACATCTCCTAGCCACCGTGATGATGATGATGATGAGAGAGAGAGACACGCACACTCCAAATATACAGCAGCAGGCATCGAACCCTCGACCTCCTGTATACCAGGCGAGGTAGTTAACATCTCCTAGCCACCGTGATGATGATGATGAGAGAGAGAGACACGCAAACTCCAAATATACAGCAGGCATCATCAAGGTCGGGAATGAACCCACGACCTCATGTGGACCAGGCGAGGTAGTAAACATCTCCTAGCCACCGTGATGATGATGATGAGAGAGAGAGAGAGAGACACGCAAACTCCAAATACACAGCAGGCGTCATCAAGGTCGGGATCGAACCCACGACCTCCTGTATACCAAGCGAGGTAGTTAACATCTCCCAGCCACCGTGGCGCCGATTTCAGTGGCTGCGCTCAAAGTGTTTGGAACCACCACCTAAGTTTCGTCTCTGGACATCTCCATGCTCTATGTACCGTACGTTGCTTGTATGCATGCTCTATGTATGTTGTATGCATGTTGTATGTATGTTGTACGTCCGAATGTTGAACTTAATTCGCAGCGTACGTTGGTAACCGTGCTAATCGGAGGTGCGGAGGAAGGGCAACAAGCTAAGCACAAAAAAACAGTTCTAAAGAAATGAGTTCAATGTCTACATTTTGTTTTAAAATTCTGCCATCTATGTCCTCGTTCAAAACTGACTCGCTTACAGCGACACCCCGGTACCGTCGACGAATATCCTCGACGACGTACAGGGCAGTCGTAGTAGTGGGTGGGTGGGTGGTGGTGGGTGGGTGGTGGTGGTGGGTGGTGATGGGTGGTAATGGGTGGTGGTGGGTGGTAGTGGGTGGGTGATGGTTAGTGGTGGTGGGTGGTAGTGGGTGGTGGTGGGTGGGTTGGTAGTGGGTGGTGGATGGGTGGTGATGGGTGGTGGTGGGTGGGTGATGGTTAGTGGTGGGTGGTGGTGGGTGGGTGGTGGGTGGGTGGTGGGTGGTAGTGGGTGGGTGGTTGTGGTGGGTGGGTGGTAGTGGGTGGGTGATGGTGGAGGCGAAGGCTGAGAGGCAACGGATATCGAGAAAGGATGGGACGACGAAGATGCCGTCAGCGACGTTCAGTGGTGTGGGTGGGTGGGGCTGAGTTGGCGCAAATCGCGTTCGTGGTATTGCCTCGGTGACGACGTATTTGTGAAACGACGTCAAAGTGAGAAACGTAAATCGGGGGGGAGGGGGGGTGTAACCGTATTAAACTCACTCAAGTTTCAGTGTAAATGTAATTTAACAAAATAATTGCCATTATTATTATTGCGGTTATCAGTTTTCATGCTGTAATTGTGAAACGCTTGGATGTGTGTATGTACATAGAACTTCTTTCGCACCGTACGTGGCCCACCGTGCCAATGGGAGGTGATGTTGTCTGCTGGCCGAGTCGCCGCCTTGATTAAAGAGCTTCATAGCTCTACGGGCTACGCTCGGCAAATAAACTTCTACTGGCTCTAGTACTGAATGAAAATTAAAAAAAGGAGTCGTCCATAAATGACGCCATGCGATTTTGGACGATTTTTTTACCCCCCCCCCCCCCCCGTCGTCACACGGCGTCACAAAAAGTCAGACCCCCCTCAAATATGACGTCACAAAGCTCTGCCCCCCCCCCCCCCCCCACAAATTTGTTTTAAACATGCTCCAAATCGCTTTAAACTATTGTCGTTGTAGTGCGTATTTAATGTGGCGCCGCACTCTGATGTTGCAGATGAAAACATTTATTAAAAAGTCTATTTAAAATAATATTTTATTGTTTCCCTTCAACGTGACTTTACCGAAAGAGCTAAGAATATGAATTACTGCAGTCACGAAAGCTTTAAATCAAAATTTGAGCAGAACGTGTTGTCTATATTTATTTAAAGTTGCTCACTTTGATGTGACGTCACTTTTCTCAACCCCCCCCCCCCCCCCCTTGTCACACATTGTCACAAATGTCTGACCACCCCCCCCCCCCCAGGTGCGTGACGTCATTTATGGACGGCCCCAAACATATTCTCACGCGTTTCCAAGTTGTGTCCGCCCCCCCCCCCAACCCGGCCGATATCTATTTGATCAACAAGAGATCGATCCTGAGATTCACTATCCAGCTGTCTCTTCCCTCTCTTCGCTGAGCACTTTCAGCATTTCCCGGCGACCCGAGTTCGATTCCCGCTCACGGTCAACGGCGATTTTATCCGAACCACTCCTGGGCCGCCCTTAGGTCAACTCAGCATTAAACAAGTAGCCGGTGCGGTGTGCATTGAAATCATCTGCACTGGGGAGACAAAGGTGGCCGAGCGTGGTGTTTCGTCACCCCGCACCGCTACGCCCCCTAGCATGCCTTGCCGGCCTTAATAGGCGCTCGCTAGCAACAACACTTGCCCCAACAGCCTGCGAAGGCTACACGGGAGGGGGGGAATTCTTTATCTTTGTGCGCGGCGTGTGCAAACTTACATTTTTGATGGGCTGATGGTTACCCCTGGAGTTGCTGGTAGTTGTTGGTAGTTGAGATGTATTTCTTGAGATGTCCTGAGATGTATATCGTGAGATTTATGTTGATTTGGCACGCGCACAGGCACACAGACACACGCGCGCGTGCGTAGCGCACACGGCTCTGAGACTCGGGCAGGCACAGAGAGGCTGGGTATATGGAGGAACAGCACCCCCACCCTCGCCTTATGTAACTCGTAACGCAGAGTAGCTGGAGGAAGGAGGGAGGAGTGGTTCTGGGTGGTGAGTCTCCCTGTGAGTGAGACTCATCTGAAACTCAGCTCTGGCGGCCCCTCCCACAGGCACGTCACCCACACGCGCAAACACGCCCCGTCCAGAGACAGAACTCCGCGGAGCGGGAGATGCAGAGACACGGTGGGAGATGCAGAGACACGGAGGGAGATGCAGAGACACAGAGAGAGAGATGCAGAGACACGGAGGGAGATGCAGAGACACGGAGAGAGAGATGCAGAGACACGGAGGGAGATGCAGAGACACGGATGGAGATGCAGAGACACGGAGAGAGAGATGCAGAGACACGGAGGGAGATGCAGAGACACGGAGAGAGATGCAGAGACACGGAGAGAGATGCAGAGACACGGAGAGAGATGCAGAGACACGGAGGGAGATGCAGAGACACGGAGGGCGATGCAGAGACACGGAGCGAGATGCAGAGACACGGAGAGATGCAGAGACACGGAGAGAGATGCAGAGACACGGAGAGAGATGCAGAGACACGGAGGGAGATGCAGAGACACGGAGGGAGATGCAGAGACACGGAGGGCGATGCAGAGACACGGAGGGAGATGCAGAGACACGGAGAGAGATGAAGAGACACGGAGGGAGATGCAGAGACACGGAGAGAGATGCAGAGACACGGAGAGAGAGATGCAGAGACACGGAGGGAGATGCAGAGACACGGAGGGAGGGAGATGAAGAGACACGGAGGGAGATGCAGAGACACGGAAGGAGATGCAGAGACAGAGAGAGAGAAGCAGAGACACGGAGAGAGATGCAGAGACACAGAGAGAGATGCAGAGACACGGAGGGAGATGCAGAGACACGGAGGGAGGGAGATGAAGAGACACGGAGGGAGATGCAGAGACACGGAGGGAGATGCAGAGACACAGAGAGAGAGAAGCAGAGACACGGAGAGAGATGAAGAGACACGGAGGGAGATGCAGAGACACGGAGCGAGATGCAGAGACACGGAGGGAGATTAAGAGACACGGAGAGAGATGCAGAGACACGGAAGGAGATGCAGAGACACGGAGGGAGATGCAGAGACACGGAGGGAGATGCAGAGACACGGAGGGAGATGCAGAGACACGGAGGGAGGGGGATGCAGAGACACGGAGGGAGATGCAGAGACACGGAGGGAGATGCAGAGACACGGAGGGAGATGAAGAGACACGGAGAGAGATGAAGAGACACGGAGGGAGATGCAGAGACACGGAGAGAGATGCAGAGACACGGAGGGAGATTAAGAGACACGGAGAGAGATGCAGAGACACGGAAGGAGATGCAGAGACACGGAGGGAGATGCAGAGACATGGAGGGAGATGCAGAGACACGGAGGAAGGGGGATGCAGAGACACGGAGGGAGATGCAGAGACACGGAGGGAGGGGGATGCAGAGACACGGAGGGAGATGCAGAGACACGGAGGGAGATGCAGAGACACGGAGAGAGAGATGAAGAGACACGGAGAGAGATGAAGAGACACCAGACGGCGCTGGTTGAGATCTCGCTCTCTGCTCGTGAGCCAAGAGGCTGCTGCTGCTGTCTGCACCACCTGTTCTCGGCAGCTGCGCATTGTCAGTGTGTGTGCGTGTCCGTGTGTGTCAGTGTGTGTGGGTATCCGTGTGTGTCAGTGTGTGTGCGTGTCCGTGTGTGTCAGTGTGCGCGCACGTGTCCGTGTGTGTCAGTGTGTGTGCGTGTCCGTGTGTGTCAGTGTGTGTGCGTGTCCTTGTGTGTCAGTGTGTGTGCGTGTCCGTGTGTGTCAGTGTGTGTGCGTGTCCGTGTGTGTCAGTGTGTGTGCGTGTCCGTGTGTGTCAGTGTGTGTGCGTGTCCGTGTGTGTCAGTGTGTGTGCGTGTCCGTGTGTGTCAGTGTGTGTGCGTGTCCGTGTGTGTCAGTGTGTGTGCGTGTCCGTGTGTGTCAGTGTGTGTGCGTGTCCTTGTGTGTCAGTGTGTGTGCGTGTCCGTGTGTGTCAGTGTGTGTGCGTGTCCGTGTGTGTCAGTGTGTGTGCGTGTCCGTGTGTGTCAGTGTGTGTGCGTGTCCGTGTGTGTCAGTGTGTGTGCGTGTCCGTGTGTGTCAGTGTGTGTGCGTGTCCGTGTGTGTCAGTGTGCGCGCGGGGGAGCGGTAGTGTAGCGGTTAGCGCGCTGCGCAGCACGCTAACCGCGACACCACCGCTCCCCACACACTCAACACAACAACCGCCATTCGCCACTAAGTGGCGGTGACGTCACCACGACGCTTGTGCCAGGCTAGGTGCACGTTGAGGCCACGTGAAGTGTCGAACGCCCGCTGGCAGGAGGTCACGGGGCAGACCCAGGTGCCACGGGTCGACTGACTGAGATGACTGAGACGAGTGGCTGATGCACCACCTGTGCCCCCTACTGTGCCAATCTGCTGTGCTTTAGCCATCCGGCGCTCCGCTCGGCAAGTCCACTCAGCTCCACGTCCTCCTGTACCACATCACTCCATCTCTTCTCTAGCCCGTGACGCGCCTGTTTAGCCCCCTCGATCCGGCCGAACAAAGCTGTTTAGGCATGCGGTGGCTGGGCATGCGGGCTACATGACCCAGCCAACGCAGCCTTGCCTGCCCGAGGAGCTCACCGATGGGACTTTGTCCAGATCTTTCAAGGATTTGTGAGCTCCTCACACAATCCAGCCTGGTTAAACGCAGAATGGATCGTAGGCAGGCCAGCCTAAATGTTTCTAACCGGCTAAGATTTTCCATTAGGGGGGTCCACGTTTCGCAAGCGTAGAGAAGGGAGGGAATGACAGTGGCCGAGAAGACCTGAAGCTTAGTGCGGAGCGACAAACCAGGTAGCTTCCACACAGCGTTACGCAACCGATGAAGAGATAATGCCGCTCGACTGATTCGGAGCGAGACCTCTGCTGTTAAACCGGAGCCGGTCATGAGCACACTGCCCAGTTATGGGAAACTCTCCACTCTCTCCACAACTGCCCTATCACCAATTGGGAGTTGTGGGGGTGGAGTATCCGATGGCACAAAATACCCAGGCAGGTGCTTAGTTTTGGTGGGGCTGATGGTAATGCCCCACCTCTTAGTGGCATGCTCCAGGTTCAGTAGCAGCGCCTCCAACTCCTCCTCTGAGTGAGCAGCAATTACCAAATCATCGGCATACATAACGTGTTTCAGAAATAGGGAGCCATCCCTTGACCGCACCGGCATCGATCAGCCTCCCATTGTATCTGTACCAGATGGAAATTACTCCGGTACAGCTATTGAAGGCTTCACGAACTACGTGGTGGAAATAGATGTTAAGTAATGTGGGAGCCAGAGGAGATCCCTGTCGCACCCCAAGGTAAACAGGGAATGGCTCCGACTCCCGGCCACGTAGTTTTACCCGGGCCCACTGATCGTGAGGAGAGGGTCAGGGACTCCGAAAGCACGAAAAACATCCCAGAGCCCAGGCCTACCGATGGTGTCATAGGCCTTGACCAGGTCAATAAAGCAGAGATGTAGGTCTTGTTGGAATTCCCTACACCTCTGCTGTAGCAGACGGCTGAAAATGGCATCTGTGCAGGACCACCCTTTTCTGAAACCGCATTGGGGCTCCGCAAGCCTCTCCTCAGCGTGCCTAGCAAGGTGATGTTGAATAATCCTTGCCAGGACCTTTCCCGGCACACTGAGGAGTGAGATGCACCTGTAGTTGTTGCAGTCTGTGCGGTCCCCTTTCTTAAAGAGGGGGACCACCAGGGCATCTTTCCAATCCTGTGGAACCCGTCCAGTGGTCCAGACAGTTGTTATGGTGTCATGTAGGGCAGTCTGTGCACAAACGCCATCCTCACTCAGCATTTCGCTTGGGAGATCATCTCTGCCCGGTGCCTTTCCTGGTCTCAGACTCTGGATTGCCTCAGTACTTCCTCAACAGATAGCACCTCAGCCAGCCACGCACAGGGGGTGACTTCTTCCAATATTTGAGACACCGCAGCCTCAGCAGGGTCATCCCCACTTTGACCCACGTTTTCCTGGCTGAGGGATTTCCCCTCCCCCAGGACTTCACAGAAATGCTCAGCAAATCTGCAAACCTGTTCCTGGGGGTCGGAGATTGGATCACCGTTTTTTCCCCTAACTATGGTAATAGGTGTGGCGCTGCAGGTTACTTTTTTGATGGAGTTAAATAGCGATTTCTGATCGCGGGCCATTGAGGCAGACTCCATCTCCTCAGCAACCCGCTACCACCACCCATCCTTGCAGCGCCTCACGGCTTTCCGAACCTCCGAGCGAAGGCTGCGGATAAGCCTCTTCATTCTCTGCCGTGGGATGCTGTAGACGATGACAGTGGGCCTGTCGCTTTTTCTCAACCAGCCTGAACACCACCTCTGTCAGCCAGGGTATCTTTGGAGGTCTTGACCGTGTACCCAAGTAGCCATTGCAGCTGCATGAGCCACAGTCCTAAACCTAGCCCATTTCCCCTCGACATCTGGAGGAGTGGGGGACGATGCCAACCCCAGCCGCAAGCGATGATTAATTTCTTGCTTGCAACTTTCATGAGCTAGCTGAGACCAGGCCACCTTGGGTTTGAATGGGGTCCTGGGTGTACACCCACCACCGGAGTGGAAGAATGGCAGGCGCATCTTACAGATGACAAGTCGATGGTCAGTGAGGTCCTGGTGTCAAGGACATGGGCCCGCATCTCCTGTCCCGTTACTACGTAGTCCAGCAGATGTTCTTGCTTGGACCCGGCATGCATCCATGATGTTGTGTGGATGCGCCGATGCCGGATCAGTGTGTTGGTAATTACAAGCCCATAGGCTGTACACAAATCTAGCAGCCTCCTACCGTTGTGATTGAGCTGATCTGGCCCATGCCTTCCAATCACTCCAGACCAGGTGCCAGCATCATGACCAACTCGGGCATTGAAGTCGCTCAACATGATTACTCTATCCCGAGGGGCCACTTTAGCGAGCACCTGTGACAGAAGGTCATGGAAGCCATCTGACTCATCGGCCTTGCCTGCATCCCTCCACGGATGTTTGTCTTCGGTGGGGGCATAAGTAACCAAGACTACCACTCCTCGCCTCCG